TTCTGTACAGTTGAAACTCAAGTTCCACTCTTTCTTATGTGTGTTTTGTTTGTAATAAACAGTGTTATATATATTTTTTTGTAAATGCGATTTTTATTTGTGGTAATGAGGTTGAGCAACAACTATGGGACTCTCAGGTCCCCATCAGCATAACATGTATCGTATAATATGCACAACCTGTGCGGAGACAAGGTTAAGCATCATTGAGTAGTTGTCCGAGCTTGCAGGACCTCGGATTAATCTGACTCATGAGATGAGGGGGAAGGAGGGGGGATGAGAAGGGAGGATGAGGTACGTCGTAGCACCCCTGGGGCCCCACGGGTTTCAAGGGGTCGCGTTGCGTCTTCCCTACATTCTGTTTTGTGAAATATAAGTGTACCATGGTCTCCAGAGATCCGTGTGTTTCGCGCTTCTCCCTATCAGTTCTGTGTATCTTGCCTCCGCTGTGTGGATCTCCTCGACTCTCTGTAGCTATTCTGCTTTGGTGGGCGGTTGCTTCCACCTGGCCGGTATCAGTGCCTTAGCCATATTGAGCAGGTGTCGTAATATCGATCTCTTATATTGGGACATTGTGCTTTTAGGAGCGCCACTTCTATGGTGAGTTCGGGTATGTCACCCAGGATTATCGCTATTTCCTGTTTTATTTCTGCCCAGTATGCCTGGATCGATGTGCAGTCCCACCAGATGTGGCGCAGCGTACCCGCCTGTGCTTCGCATCTCCAGCAGGTATCCGGCGTCCCCAAAATATTCTATGGAGCAAGGCAGGGGTCCTCTACCAGTGAGACAGTAGTTTGAAATTGACTTCCTAATATCTGGTGCTTATGGAACTTTTGTGTTGTAGGATAAGAATCTGTTCCCATTGGGCCTCTGTGTATGTTCTGTCAGTTAGTTCCTCCCATTGCCTTTTGAATGCATTTTTCCTAGTGAGATTTCCCGTTTTCAGTCTCTGGTAGATGGCTGATTCTCTGCCTACTTCATTGAAGTCCGTCAGGCAAAGTTGCTCGAACCATGTCGTCTCCCTGTGCACTGCTTCTCTGTTTGGCATGTTGTGGTAGAAGTGCCTCAGTTGTGCATAGTGGAATCTGTATTAGGAAGGGGTTGGGGGGTGATGAAGAATGTAGTGTGTTTTTTGTAGTGTTAGGAGGTGGAGCTCCTTATTACGAGGGGTGTGTTCCCTGGGTTGTTACGTCCCTCAATTTGAGGGGTTCCTGTGTAACTGGGTGGAGTTCAGACCCGTACTGCTTCCCAGTAGTAACTAGGGCAGCCACGGAAGTGAAACCCCCAGTGGTCTGGGTATACACAGGTCCGGTCTGGGGGGGGGGTAGTACAATTGGTGTACACTTCTTTTGCCTGCTGGGTCACAGGTGTATAGAGTTTAGTGTTTGTGTTGTCGTGTTCGGCAGTCCTAGTGGGATTCCCGTACCCCACTTTTGTCTGAGCTGATCTCTGCTGTTAGTTGCTGTTAAGGTGCTGTCGGAAGGTCACGGTGTGTTCTTGATAGGTAGTGCTCTAAGTGTTTCTGCTATCGGGGAGAGTTATCGTCAGACATTGAACCCAAGGGTCAGTGGTCATTTCTGTGTTATGTTTGTCGTCTATTGGGACATGTCAGGGCAGCGTGGTGGACCGGGCGCCGTGGGTGGGGGGGGGGATGTCGCCCAATGGGGCCTAGTTGTCGTCTCATGAGTGTGGTCGATCAGGGCTTGATTGTCCCTCCTCAGAATCTACTGTATAGTGCACTGTGTGTTCCAGATGATGTCTATGTTGAGTTCCCACCCCAGTGTGCATGCCCCATGTTTAATATGCGTAGTCTCGGTGTCCAGGGTACGTGCGGTGTGGGCAGTGCGGGTGCCTATCATATTTTTAGTTGTCCTCGTTATCTCTCCGCTCCCTCTTTTCATCTAGAAGGTGCCCTTTCAGCTCCTCTACATCATCCCCCTCAACTGGTCTATGTTCGGCCCTATCACACCATTATACATTCCCCTCCCCTCTTTGTCTCCAAGCCCCCCCGCCCCCTGCCGGCCCCAGTGTGCCCTGTCTCGTTTTTTTGTTCCATCGGTGTTGCCCTTTATGTCAATGTAATATTGATTCGGTGTCTGATTCCCTTCTCCTCTCCCCTTCCCACCCCCCACCAAAGTCCAAGACAATGCACCATGTGACAAGATGTGTGTGCTATGGTATTGTACATCTCCAGGATCCGAGACCCCTTACTAACAAAGTATTTCCTTTACCCCCTGTCTATATCTCTATGCGTAGATGTGCCACAGTTGCGAACAATGTTATATTTTAACCATTTGCTGCAGTCCAGTCTCATTTCACTGTTAAGAAGTGCTGATGAATTTATTTTTGGGAGGGTTGCTATCTACTGCTGGGGTGATACCTGCTATGAATACACCCTCTTTTCCAGGCAAGCAATTTAATTGTTTGGGTTGAACTAGGATATTTCTATGAAGTGTACAGCAGGCACAATAGCTTGATTCATTTTTCCCCCTTCTTTTCTTTAAACTTGATTTATTTTAATTTTTTCCACAGTTGAACAAAATAACACATACAAAAACACTATTATAAATTAGAATAATTTGTAGATTATTAAATGTACTAAAAAAAATAATAAAAACAAACAAACCAAAACTCATATTTCTCCCCCCACCTGCAATATCAATTCCACCTCCCCAAAACCCCTCTTTGACCCTCAAGTCCAAATATAAAAAAATCAATAAAAAAAAAATCCAATCTAACTGGACTATCTGCTTTATTTCTCATTAGGCTAATTAAAAGCGTTCACCAGTATATCCTACATCTTCCAATCATCCCCTTTTTTGCTCTTCCATTAAACTGCTGCACTGCAGTAAGGGTTCACTATACTTTCATTCACTTTATTAATCCAATTCTTTTTTGAAGGACAATTATGTTTTCCATAAACTAGCCATTAAAGTTTTAGCCACGATAATAAGCCTAATAACTATAGAATAATTCAGAAAATGAATTGAGAGAACAATATAAAAAATACAAATTAGATCTAGTGTCAAAGGAAAATCTGAAAAAAAATTTCAACAATTTATTAAATTGTGAATTGACAATTAAATTTAAAAATGAAGGCCAAAAATTCCAACTTGAATATTTTGGTCTAAAGTTTGCATTTACCAGATGTCATCCAGCTTGGGAGTATATATGAATATATATATATATATATATATATATATATATATATATAATTTTTTTTTTTTTTTTTATCTTTTTATTATTTTGTGTGTTTAACATAGGTAAACATAAGTTTTGGTACAGCGAGATTACATTAAGGTTACAATTTCGGTATTTCACTATTTTAAACAGTACTAAAATATCACATAGTTGAAGGTACATTTTGTAGTAGGGTCATCACCACAAAAAGGAAAATAGTGGTAGATGAGGCAACTGAAAGAATAACATAACAAGCAAAGGTACTATAGCAATAAATAATTGAAAGGAAACCTTACATTAGTGCAATACCTGGAGACCCGGTTTATACTGGTACGCTTCATGTGTATCTAAAGGGATAATTCCCCTCTGTGGGTCGGAAAACCTAGGCTCGGCGGAGGACTATTGAGTATATGAAAGGAAAGGCGGGTGTATGAAAGTAGGGGATGGTACCTTGCTGTCCCCTCTGGGAAGCAGGATTGAGTGACGGTTGTACGTGTCTTGTCAATCGGTTACTTTCAACTCCCACCAACCTCAACCACGGAGGAAAGGGCTGAAGAGAAAGCTGCAGTGGTATGGTGGTGGGGGAGGCAGAAGTTTTAGGAATAAGGCTTGTATTTTCGATGAGAATAAAGGTATGTGTTAGGTCAGTCTACTGTGGTGGGGGAGGGTTGCAGTGCATGTGATGAATCCATGGGTCCCATATGGACAAGAATTTAACTTGTTTTCCCATTTTAGCTGAGGTGATTTCTTCCATCAATTTAATATCATCAACTCTCAGTATCCATTCACGAATTGAAGGTGGCCTGGATTGCTTCCAAAGTTTAGGAATTAGTTGGGAAGCCGCCATGACCAAATGGCGAAACAGGGCCGTCTCTAGCGTCGTGAGTGTATGGGGTGATAAGAAAAGGATATAATATTCCGGGGTACACGGGAAAGTCTTATGGAATATTAGTTGTACGATAGTGTGGATCCTCTTCCAAAATTTATGAATTATTGGGCATTGCCACCAAATGTGGGTGTGGTGTGCATTTGAATTCTGACATCTCCAGCAGAGATCTGGAGCTGAATGAAAGAATTTGTGGAGTTTAGCGGGTGTGTTGTGCCAGCGGGTTACTTTTTTGTAATTACATTCTTGTGCGTACGCTGAGATAGAGGATTTATGGACGGAAATGAAGGCGTTCTTCCATTGTTGGGTAGTGATGTTGGTTTGTAGTTCCTCTGCCCATTTTAGAGTGAAATTTGGGAGGTTTTGTGGGTATGCCTCTCTAATTACTGAGTGTAGAGTGGAAAGCATTTTTACCTTTGGTGAGTGGGAGGTGCATAACAGTTAAAATCTAGTGAGAGGTCTATTGCCTTCTGGTAGTAGTGACTGGGTTTTGATGAAGTGGTTCAGTTGGTCTTGGAAAAAGATTTGGACCCCCGTGTGGGTGTTAGAGAGGGTGAGTTCATGTAAGGGTTTTAGTTTATTTCCTGATGATGCGTCGCCCAACTTCAGGAAGGGGCCATCGTATATAAGTCCAAGTTGTTTCCCTGTTGTTCCTTTGTGGAAGTGAGGATTCAGGGTTAGGGGAAAAATAGGAGAAGGGAAGGGCGAAATTTTTGTTTCCGTCCTTAGTCTGAACCATATGTGTAATGTAGAGGAAATCGTTGGGTGATTGTTTAGTTTTTCCACTAGTTTGGGGTCCTTGCGGAGCCAGGGATAAGCGCAGAGTGGAGTGTCTACACAACTGTTTTCTAGTGCAACCCATTGGAGTGTATTGGGTGTTTTCGTCCATTCATAGATTCTTTGCAAATGTGTCGCTTTATAATAAGCTTCTATGTCCGGAAGGTTTAGACCCCCTTGATCCTGTTTTTTAGTTAATGTATGGTATGCTAGGCGTGGGGGTTTGTGGGCCCAAATAAATTTCAAAAATAGTGACTTAAGAGAGAGGAAGAGTTTAGCTGGGAGTTTGAGTGGAATCGTTTGAAGGAGGTAGAGGATACGGGGGAGAATGTTCATTTTGAGTATGTTTACCCGGGACATTAACCCAAAGCCTGGTTTGTGCCATCTATGTAGGTCTTTTGTGATTGAGTCAACTAGAGGAGGGAAGTTGATCTTATAGGTAGATGGTAGGTGAGCAGGGAGGTGAATTCCAAGGTACTTAATTGATCTGGATGACCAGTTAAAGGAGATTTGATCTGGTCATTCAACAGGTCTGTTGAGAAAATTGGCATCAAGTCGCATTTTGCGAGATTGGCCTGAAAAAAAGAGAGTTTACCGTAAGATTCCATTTCAGAAATAATTATGGGGATGGTCCTGAGGAGCTCTGCTATAGTAAAAAGGAGATCGTCCGCAAACGCTGTAATTTTATAGTTTTGACTCTTAACCTGGATTCCTCGGATGAGGTCATTGTCTCGGATGCCTTGGAGGAATGGTTCTAGAACTAAAATAAATAAAAGTGGTGATAAGGGGCAGCCCTGTCTCGTGCCGTTGGAAATAGTCACCGCGTTAGATAATTGACCATTGATTCTCAGTTTCGCTGTTGGTTTTGAGTATATCATATCTATCCTCTCCAGCCATCTAGTGCCAAAATTTAAGTATCGCAGGGTGTGTTTCAATAGCATCCAGTTGACTCTGTCGAAAGCCTTTTCGGTGTCTATGGCCAGCAGAGCGCTCTGTGTCTTATGTGTTTGTGCCCAGTGGATGATATTGATGATTTTTGTGGTGTTGTTTTTAGCTTCCCTACCTACCATGAAGCCCGCCTGGTCCGGATGTGTTAAAGTCGGCATGAATGGTTTTAGTCTGGTGGCCATAATTTTGGTTAGTATCTTTAAATCAATATTTATAAGTGAGATAGGTCTGTAGTTTCCACAAACGGTTGTATCTTTTCCCGGTTTCGGGATTATTGAGATAGTCGCCTCAAGAGCTGAACTTGGAATGTGAGATGAAATATTTCTCATATTGTAAGCCTCAATAAATGGTTGTGCTAGTATGTGCGAAAGTGCCTTGTAATACTTCCCTGTGTAGCCATCGGGACCTGGGCTTTTACCTAGGGGCAAAGATTTGACCGTGGCATGAAATTCTTCTAGAGTGATTGGGTTATCGAGAAATGCCGTTTCGTTGGCAGGAATAGTATGCTTAACTCTGGATTTTAGGAAGTCTAATATGTTGTCTGTCGTGGGTTTTGTATTGGTGAGGTTATATAATTTTGAGTAAAATTTGTGGAAGGATTCCAGTATGTCTGGCATGTGGCATGTTAGGGCGCCATCTTCTTTCCTAATTTCAGAGATGAAAGAGGATTGTCTTTCCAATTGTATAGATTTTGCGAGAAGTTTGCCTGCTTTGCCCCCTTGAGTGTAGTATGTGTTTTTTGTTAGGGATAGTTTACGCTTAGCGTGTAGGTGTAGAATGGCTGTCAGCTCAGTTCGTTTACTGGAAAGTAATTTATGCTCATCTAGTGAAAGAGTGGTTTTGTGTTTGTTTTCTAGATTTTTAATGTCTCTAGTGATTTGTGCTATTTTCTTTTCTCTATTCTTTTTAAGTATCGCCGCCGATTTGATTAGTTCCCCTCTAATGACTGCCTTATGAGCTTCCCATGTCATGATTGGTGTTGTGTCAGGGCGGGTATTTTCTGAGAAGTAGTTTGTTGCTAAGTCCCGAATCTTGGTCAAGATTCCTCTGTCATTCAGTATTAAGTCATTCAGTTTCCATTGAGAGAATGAGGTGGATGCTGCTGGAATGGATAGGGTCAAGGTCATGGGAGCGTGATCCGACCAGGTGATCGGGCCATACGCAGCTGCTTGTATGAGAGGGAGATATCTATGTTGGAGAAAAATGGTGTCAATTCGAGAGTATGTGCCTATGGGTGCGGAGTAAAAGGAGTAGTCTTTTTTAGTAGGGTGGGTGGCTCTCCAACTATCATAGAGTTGAGCTTCATAAAGAGAGTTTTTAAAGAGAGTCCTTGTTTGGGTTTGGTAGTCTCTAGATTTAGAAGTAGTGTCTGTCCATCTAGATCAATGTTGAAGTCGCCTCCCACTATGAGAATTCCTTCTTGAAACACTGAGAGTTTGCTTAAGATTTTTGTAAGAGCGTGATTCTGTTTTTTATTTGGTAGGTAAATATTCGCCAGAGTGACCTGGGTGTTGCCAATTTTACCCTTTACGAACACAAACCTACCAGAGTCGTCTGCCACATGTTCTTGATGTGTGAATTGTAAGTGTTGCCCTATAAGGATTGCTACTCCTCTGGATTTAGTTTCAGAGAAATGGCTAAAGTATCCAACTGGAAAGTCTTTGTTACGTAATGTGGGAGGGGAGTCCTTCCTAAAATGGGTCTCTTGTATAAACACTATGTGTGCTTTGTTCCTCTTGAAATCCGTAAGCGCAACAGATCTTTTTTCAGGGGTATTTAGGCCCCTTGCGTTTTGTGTGTGAATACGTAAGGTAGTCATAATCACTATTGTAGGCGTAGGACTGAGTTGTATTGATAGTGTCTCACCGAGTAGAATATTGTCAAGTGTGTCTATGGTAAAGCTGCACAGGTGAACCCAATTTGGAGGGATGTCACTGTATGATTGATTGAAAAGCGTTTAATAGGTTCCGAGGTCTAGGTTTTCCAAATTGTAGATTATCTCTTGGTCTACCAGTTTATAAATAGCAAATGAACCAGTTCAGTTATACAGAGGAATGAATACACAATATAACAATGTAACACTTGTACTGTATGAGAACAATTAACAATTCGCAATAACTTGAAACACCGTGTTTGTCTAGTGTGAGTGTCCTCTTTGCTCAGGTTAGCAGGTTTATGAGAGACTAGATATCTCGCTGGGTGAGGTCTTGTGGGTGTGGGGGGGGGGAGGGAGGAGGATGGAGGAGTTTGATAGAAAGATTGGGAAAATATTTCCCTCTGGGGAATGTAGTTCAATCTCGACGCTAGAGATAGAACCTGTAGGTGATTGGGGTCATGTACTCGCGTTTAGGCTGGAGACCCAAGTCTCAATCCAATCTATTAATTAGTTGTAGTGGGGAAGTACGGTTGTATGAGTTCCCTCTCTGTCTGGTGGGGTTTGTTGGGCATCCATGAACCTTTTTATGATTTACATTGGGGTATAAGAAGTCTCTTGTAAGTCGGAGTCATCATGGAGAAATTTGATGTCTGTGTAGTGGCGTCAGGTAATATATTATTGCGCCATATTTGACCTCCATAAACAAGTATGCATGCAATTCGGTTGTAGAAAGGAAAGAAAATAATTTTATTTATTTTTTTTATTTTATTTTTTTTATTTTTTTTCCTGATAAGGAATAGGAAATAGGAAATAATTAACTTGTGGAGATGCTAGTTTTGTACCATCAGTACTGTCGTTGTGTAGATAAAGGGATATAGTCCAGTCCAGATCTGATAGTGATAGGGGGGAGGACGGAATCCTAGAGCTAGTTAAATAGCAGATGACAGTGATAAGGGTCTCGATGTGTGTGTATCGATTTCTATGGGCTTTGTAAGCTAGTGGGGTTTGGAGTCATCACGGACGAAATAGGTATATCTATGACTTGCGAGGACAAAGGGGGAAGCAGTTAGCTATGTTCAATCGTAAGTCAGAGGAATCACCCGTTGCCATATGTGCGACACGTAAGATAGTGCTATGCTGTAAGATAACATCTGTCTCCTCTGTAGTGGAGTATTGTATGGCAACTTGTCACCTCTAGAAATGTTTTACATTTGAGTATTCAGTAAAAAGCACGTGAGGTGCAATAAAATCTAGCTTGTTAATAGTGGCCTATAGCAAGCAACGACCAAAGTGATTGTGCCCGTTGGTGTCATAGTACGGAGTTTGTCAACTTTTCTGCCTTAGGTCGGACATTATAAGTTGTCCCGAGAATACCTCCTAGTGAGGCGAATTGCTGTGCGACAGCAGCTAGGTTCCCTGTAAGAGGGAATCTAGTGACTCACTATCTCCAAGAGCATATTGCGTTTGGATAGTCAAAGAAGAGCAAGTGAGTTACAACAAGCTCCTGCGAGTGAACATCTCTCTATATCTCATCATTTCTATAATAATTACTAGTGGCGTTAGTATGCAGTGTTTCATAACAGTACTGCCTGACCGTTTGCTAAAATATACGGACACTTAAACATGTTGCAGGCAATGTTAGATGCTATACGACCTGATTATTTAGGACTTCCCGAGTCTCTGGTTGACCTGGTAGGGGGAGAATGGGAGATAAGTCCGTGGATTAAAAGTCCCCTGCCAAAAGTGAAGTCCTAGATGTGTTGTAGCTGGTGACACCTGTAAGTCCCCAAAGAAAGTTTGTTGGTTCAGATGAGTAAAGGCTGCCACTGTGGTGTTTCGTCCTTTTTCCTATTCCGTGATGTTAGTGAATTCCTTGTAGTTGACCACGAAGAGGTTCTCCACCAGTAGAGAGGGTAACAAATTTTTAGGGTAAGCTTGCGGGTGTTAGTTTGGACGTCCGTCCTTTAGGCGTTGTCTCTGAGGAGTGCCTTCTGTGGGAATTTTATCTTGCCTCTGATTAGGGGATTGGAATCTCTGGTCAGGGCGCCTCTTCCTAGATGGAGTGGACCATTTCTGTCGCTGGGAAGAAGGTAGCGTGTCTTGGTTCGGCGGAGGTGAGTTCCAGTCCACGACTGTAGTGTTCGGAAGATCCAGTGCTCTGAAAAATGGTATTACATCCAGAAATGTGGTGATAGAGTGGACGTTGCCGTTAGTGGATACAATTAAAGCGAAAGGGAATCCCCATCGGTATCTTATGTTGCGCTGTCTTAAGAGCTCTGTGATAGGTTTGAGTGCCCTTCTTGCCTGGAGTGTGTACCAGGTTAGGTCTGGGAATATTTGAATCGGATTGCCATGAAAGAGCAGTGGTTGATTCGTGTCCCTTAGGGCTTTCACTATGTTATCTTTCACACTGTAATAGTGTAGTCTGCAGATGATATCCCTTGGGGTGTCTTGGGATAAGCCTCGCGGACGGAGAGACCTGTGGGCTCTGTCTAATAGGATCAGGTTGTCAGCGGGGGCTTCCAGAATTAAGTTAAAGAGCTCTTGAAGAATTAAAATGGTGTCCTCACCCTGGGTTTCTGGTATCCCTCTGATTCGCAGATTGTTTCTGCGTCCCCTGTTGTCGAGGTCATCAATAT